GTAATCCCATGACTCGTGTAAGCTACTATAGCTATAGATGTAAGATACTATAGCTGCTATAGTATCTTACATCAATCATGTGTTCTGGACATGCCTGTGCATCCGTCAACTCTATAAGGTTAAAGCGCTTATGAGAAACAACTAGATGACCATTGTTAGGGAAAATATTACTTGTCTTGGAGTAATTTGGTAACCAAACCTTTTATACATAGCTTTCCTTATTTTTATATTTAAATTCAAATAACCTTATTTTTTCCCCTTCCTCTAGCATTTGTTCCTGCTCCACCTGTGCCACAGCCACCAAGTGCTGCTCCAGCACCACCTATCCACCCACCCCCACCTCATGAGGATGAGCCTGTCAGTAAGAAGATGAAGACTGAGGATAACCTGATTCCGGAGGAGGAGTTCCTTCGTAGAAACAAGGTTTGTTGGATCAATAAAGTGTGGAAAAGGTGTTACGTTACATTTATAATTTACCAGTGCTACCACATCACTCTCGTGGTTCAGTAGACTGGATTGGGACTTTGTGTGACCATCAGATTTATTTAAAGATATGCAAAAAAGAAAAGTTCTTTTTGTGCACATGGTAGTAATATAGGGCTTTGTTTCCAGCTGTGGTAGTTGAAGATAAACACAGCTAACCTACTTAGTAGAACATGGATATGTAGTTTCATCTGTTTTTGTGTCTGAATCTTTTTCCTGTCTCTAGGGTCCAGTGGCTGTTAAAGTACAGGTTCCTAACATGCAGGACAAGAGTGAATGGAAGCTGAATGGCCAGGTGCTGAATTTCACTGTCCCAGTCACAGACCAGGTATGCAACATGTGGTTTGTTTTCTCTCTTTAAGGTTAAGTGGTTTCACACACAGCATTCTTATTGATGTGCAAATGTAATGTCTCCGCAGGTGTCTGTCATTAAAGTCAAAATCCATGAAGCTACAGGCATGCCAGCAGGAAAACAGAAGTTGCAGTATGAGGTAAAGATTTGCTCATGGCTTTGTTGGAATGTCTGATCTCATCTGCATTAATTAATATAAAGTGCTGATTTATTAATTTGTTGTTTTGTTGTTGTTTTTTTGGTTCCTTTTCAGGGTATTTTCATTAAGGATTCCAACTCGCTGGCTTACTACAACATGAGCAACGGTTCGATCATTCATCTGGCACTGAAGGAGAGAGGTGGAAGAAAGAAGTGAGCCATCCTTGCAGAAAGAAGACATGATTTTTTTGTTGCTTTATTTTGTTGTTGTTTGTTGTGTCATAAAATTAATTTTTGTTTGCATTATATGGCATTTTTCATACAATTGTGTGCAAACAACGTGTCCTCCTTAAAGGTTTAAAGGATACTCTGGATGGCAGTCATGATTTCACACTTTTGCTTCAGTCTTTTTCTTCTCTGTGATGCAACTTAAGTGGTAATTTGTAACAACATGTAGAGCCCACGAGATTCATTCATTGAAATAAAGGAGTTTTAAATGGTCTGGTTTTGTTGCTGCTGCGTTTGCAAATCTAGCAACATGACATGGATTAGGACAGGTCACATGTGCTCACAGAAAAGAGCAGACATGGGATTCGCTTCCTCTTTCTTCTGCAGCCGCTAGGGGCAGACGTAACATTAGGATGTTAAAGCCCAGGCGAGGGCGGTAGGCTTGGGATACTAGGAGATGTAGAAATCCGTATAGTGTTCTCGGGTGGGATGACAGGACGGCAAAACCAAGCCACAGCTAGCCGAGGACAAAATGTACTAGTTCGTTAACCAGGTGGTTTAGTAAGTAATCGGCTAACTATGTAAAACTAGACAATAATGTAGCGGCGGTTCGTTGAAGGTGGGGTCAATGTAGAAATAGTTTGGGATTGTTGTCACAAGCAGTTAAGGCTAACTTTTAGTACGTTAGCAACGCAGAGTTAGCTGGCTAATGTTAAAACTGGGGGAAAACCCATTCAAGTTAACTCAAGCATAACCAGTTTAATGTGACCCAGCGGTTGTAGCGCACCCTTAGAAAAGATTTACGGACAAAACAGCGGTTGGAAAGTTTAACTCGCGCCCAGAAATCATGGCGTCGGTGCAGTTTGACTCGACTGCATATGCACAGGAGCAGATTTGACTCTGGGTTGTCCACAACCTCGCTGACGTTAGCTGTCCCGGCTAGAAGGCTAGTTTTTTTTTTCTTCTTCTTATGCTACCATGGACAAAATGGAAAACGGCCGTCGATCTGTGGACACTGGGAGCATCAGGACTCTTAGCAGCAGTCACATTGACGACGAAAGCTCCTTGGGATCCGACTCTGAGATCAACGGCTTCGCCAGCGAAAGGCAGGCGGATAAATATGGATTTATTGGTGGGGCGCAGAAGTACTCAGAGGACACGTAAGTTTACTTTAACTCTGAGGCCATCTGTGTTGGTTTGCCATGCTTAATGATAATGATAATAATAATAGGTAGTAAATTTGCAGCCTACTGTTGTCCATTAGTTGTGATGACAAGTTGTGCAGGTGTTGTTATGTGCCTCAGACAAACAGAGCTCCCAACCAGCTGCGTGGCACCGTGTTGTTTCTATTTTTTCCTTTCTTTCTTTCTTTCTTATTACCCTCTGTTTGCCACAGTCACCACAAGCAGTAAACGCGTAGATGAGGATTAAACGAGTCGTATTAATCTTCTTATTTCTACCATGTAATGTTAAATTGTTTTTCGTTTAGCCTGTCACACAGTTTTTTGCGGTGGTGGTGGTGGGGGGGTGCTGACCGAGCACTTCTGGCTGTCTGTGTCATGCTTGGATTTAATTTATCTCTGGCCTTTTGGCAATACAGATTAGATCAGTTTCCTTTCTTTTGTAAGAAATCTATTTCGTTTTTCTTTTTGTGCTGGGTCTAAAGCCTGCATGACAGCAGTGAAACAGTGGAAGGAGTGGGTGAAAGTTATGGCAAGCACCGGCTGGCTGGGAGTTTCCTGTCTTGTGGAGTTTTGGCAGGCTTGGAGCCGCAGCTCTTGGTGCCTCTTTAGCTGAGGGCCTCTTTTGGCTCATCTCTGTAGATAGTCAGTGTTTAGCTTGTACTGTTTGGCAACAAACGTATCTCTTTATTGTTTAAAGGCTCTGGGAGCTGAAGCTGCAGTATAGTCTTGCACTGATCTACAACACATAGGCTGCACTTTGTTACCAGAAGAGGCCTGTCTTAAATAAGAAGAGCTCTTTGAAGACGTTTCAGCCCTACAATTACAGGCTTGTGCCGATGAGATAATTACATACCATAGTAAAGCATCAGACCACAATTCCTAATGTAGGTTATACTTGCTTACGTTTTCTTTTTCTGTTTGAAAATATAATGTAAAGTCCTTGACTCCCCCTTCCCTCCTTGCCTGTAAATATTTTACTGTTAAATTATCCTGACTGCAGCTCCTTCAGATCAGAGAGCTTTGACATTAAATAGGTCTTGAGTTTGTATCTTTTATAGTTCGCTGACTGCAAATGAGTGATGGCCACACACACAGATCTGATGGTAGATGCAGAACGATAAACTGTCTTTGTGAGATTGTTTTCTTTTTAAAGCTTGGGCCAATTTGGAGGCTTATTTCAGACTTGCCTTATTGCAAAAACAAGCAAACTTTTGTCACCTGTCTAATTATTTCTGTGCTAAAAGAAGAGAAGATGTGTCGTTTGCTGTCATTTCAAGCAAAAAAGCGCAAAAAATGATTTGAGCTTTGTAAATTTTTTTCTCCCTCCTGTTGTGTAACCAGAGCTCAGGATATACCTCCAGCGGTGCTCAGGCAAAGAGAGGTGAAGTGGCTGGACATGCTGTGCCACTGGGACAAGTGGATGATCAAGCGATTCAATAAGGTCAGCACCAGGTGTTAAATCAGTTACATAAAACATGTGGCTTGGTTGTATGCCTTCCATGGTGTTAGCCATGTGAAGCTCACCAGATCAGTTTCTTTTAAAGAGTTTCTGAAGGTGGTTTGCTGAATTGTATTGTGTCGTTTCTAGGAAGTTTTTGTTTTTGTCCCCCCAATCGCAGGTACTCTTACACATGATCAAACAAAGCAAACGGTAACGCTCAAATGATTGCACAAGGACCAGACTTTGTATACACTTTGTTTTGCAGCTTCGCTTGTCTAGCTGGTTCTGTGTGAAATGCTCTCAGCGAATCGACGTAAAGCTGCAACTTAACCTCACACCCATGAATCAGCAGCAAGCCAGGACACAACCCCGTCCCTGTATCACTGCATATACTGTATGACAAATTACCGGTTTCAGATTCAGGGTGGGATTGTACTGGCTTCATATAAAATGATTCTCTTTCAAAAGGAATACAAAAAGTGGCTCAATACATGACAGAAACGGCTAATTTAGCGGCGAGAAGTGTTCCTTTTCTCGCTGTACATGTACTAATAAAGGTCAGGGTTTCTAATCCTTTATTGTGCCCCCATGATTGATAATAATTGTACAGTAGGAACTGTTATGTTCTTGAGGAAGTGTGCCAGCTTTGCTTTAGAGCAAACAAATGTGCTCAGAAAGGGTAATGCAATGCAATGCAAGTCAAGTCAAAAGTCTCAAGAGGACTCAGATGTGAAGGTCGGGTCAGCTAATCTGTTGCGACAACACCTGTTTGTGATTCCTGCTGAAAGATTGCAAAGCCTCAACTTGGAGAGATGGCACGAGTTGAGATCAAATTTTATCAATGTCATGTTTTGCAGCATTCATTTTAGTATATTTTGGCCCTTTTGAAGGTCATAATGTTCTTCCTACAGTTGCAGCAACAATCTTTTTTCTATGCTTATCCCTTCCACACACTCGCACGCTGCTGGATATCTTTAGATCATTTTGGGGTTCGGTATCTTGCCCAAGATACTCCTCCAGCACGCACACTGGAGGAGTCTGCTGTTCCGATAAGAAGACGACCCGCTCTACTCCCTGAGTCACAGGTGGTAGAGTGTTTGTGTATGACTTCTGTTTATGTTTCTATGCACCTTAAGTAGTCGCCCCCTTGGAGATAATGTTTTGTTTTCTGCATCCTGAAGATATAAATTACGTGGCATGTTTTTTAATGTTACATGTATAACTGAAGCTTTAATAAGAGACTCGGGTGTTAGAATATCCCCAAATTTTGGCTCGTCTTTGATCAAATTCTGATCTTGCATCTGCCAAATAAATTGGTGATCTAGATAAGCAGTAACTGGCCATTTTCATTGCTGAAAAGAAGGAAGTCAAATCACTGGGTTGTAAGAGTTTTTAGAGTGCATGCAGTGCTACAAGTCAGTGCATCCTAAGTGTAAGCTGTTAGTTTCTAAGTACAAAACTACACTTATTCAAAAAAGGGAACAAATACTAGTGGCAGCGCTCTGATGAAAACCATTTGCTGTATCTGCGCACCAGATTGCCTCTCTTAGCTTTTCTCAAGCTACATTCTCCCATGGTCCTTTGGTATATCGCTTTATTTGGGAAACCCTTTTGTTCTGTGACTCAGGTGAGGCTGCGGTGCCAGAAAGGAATTCCTCCTGCCCTCAGAGGCCGTGCATGGCTCTACTTGTCTGGTGGGAAGGTGAAGAGAGAGCAGAACCAAGGAAAGTTTCAGGTCTGACAGCTTCCTCTTTCACTTCCTCCTCACATCTCTGCTTAAACTCTACTTTGAGCTCATTTCATTTTTAAATTTCATTTGAAATTGGTACTGAAAGTGTGGTCATCCACAAGCATTACTCGTTTGAGTGAGAAGCCAGATATTTTTACCAAAGAGCTGGAGCAATGGCAGTTTTTATTATTGATCTTTTTTTTTTGGTTTGTTTTCTATTCAGGTTAAGTGTTCAAAATGCATGCTAGCATCAAATGAATAATGATGCAGATCTTGAATCTTTTCAAATATAAAGTTTAAAACCTAGCCTCTGCTCATGCAGTGGTTAGACAATTCACTGACCTTTATAGTGAATGAATAACTTAATTTATTGCTGAGATCACTAAATCCTATAAAAAAGAATCAGGGGTTTGTAGTCCTCCTACTTAAAGACAATATAATCACTTATACCGTATCACAAAGAGATCTCACTCTCATGTCCCCCATGCTCTTTTTGTCAGGAGCTGGATAGCCAGCCGGGAGACCCCAAATGGCTTGATGTAATTGAGAAAGACCTCCATCGACAGTTTCCTTTTCACGAGATGTTTGTGTCACGGGGAGGACACGGGTGAGCAGTCTACCACAATGTGACGTACAACACGGGAGTTGTTTACTGCATCTTATTTGAATATGCTAAAATGTTGCATGTTTGTGTGTGTGTGTGTGTGTGTGTGTGTGTGTGTGTGTGCAGGCAGAAGGACCTGTTCCGTGTTCTTAAGGCTTATACTCTCTACAGACCAGAGGAGGGATACTGCCAGGCCCAGGCTCCTATTGCTGCAGTGCTGCTTATGCACATGCCTGCTGAGGTACGAATTGCCTTCAATACAAACACACACCATTACTCACCATATAAATTGTGTCCCTTGGTGTGGATGATCTGAACACTTGAAGACTTGTTATGGTCTTTAAAACTAAAATCCCACACTGAAAATAGAAATAGTGCTGTTTCTTTTATTTTGTAAGGCTCAGTTTTAGTTTGTGACCTCGGGAAAGTATTTTTGAGCTGAACTGCAGAGGGACTGAGTGTACAAATGATGTAATCTGTAGATGATTTCCAGAGCTGCTCCATAGTATAAATAATACATCGAATTTGAGATTATGATAGCAGCCAAGATGACTGTAAAAGGGTTTGGAAATTTTGAACTAAAAAACGAGGCAGATAGCATCGCTGGAAAAATCCTATCATTCCACAGATTAAGTCTCTGCATGTATGTCAGAGTATCAGCTAATGGAATCATGAATTCCACTTATTCAGTTTAGCTTAGTTAGACATGGTGTGTGATTTTTAGACACACTCTCAGTTTGAGGAAAGTCTTGTGGTCATTAAAAGCACTAAGCAATTAATATGTTGAAGGAAAATTCTCCTCACAACCTAAAGTATGAACTTCAGACATAAGAGAGAGAGCAGACTTTGAAGTGGATTTATCAGATGTGTGTGGTGGTTATATATACATGCAGTTTTCTGTCCTGGTGAGCATTTCAATTAAGTAAATTACCAGCTAAATAAGTGTCCGGGGTGTTGCAAAGATGGCTTTTTATTGTGGATAGTTGCTTGGGAAAGGATTTTGGTTCGACACCACACTGTGTGACACAATAACACTATACACACCAAATTGGCCAGTGTCCTAAGGGGGCCCGAGTGCTTCATAAGGGTAGAATGGCTAGAAAATCTTGTATTTAAGAGAACATTTCTAATGTTTTCCAGCTTCTCTGTGACCCCTGGAATGCCTCTCTAAGTATAACAAAGAACTACCCTTACATTGTGTGTATGTGTGTGTGATTCTACAGGATGCTTTCTGGGGGCTGGTCCAGATCTGTGAGAAGTATCTTCCTGGTTACTACAGTCCTGGCCTGGTGAGACTGAAACACTTGAAAGCGTTCATGATGATATGGCTCAGTGTTGGAAATGCAAAGAGAATATAGCCTCAGTTGACTCCACTGCTACCAGAGCTGTGCACACCTACTTGTAGGCCTTTTGCTCAGCAAAACTAGAATGTGTATTTTGTTTCCCACAGTGTGTGTGTGTGACGCAGTGGCACTGTGGTTATGGTTTTCTGATGAAGGCAGTGGGCTGTTTACAGACTTATTTTCTCAGTAAGCTGTTTGAGTAAACTTTCTTGCGTAATAATTGCCTCCTCTTGGTTTCTGTTGCAGTTATGAATTCCATGTTATGAAAGAAGGTTTGCTAATTAAATGTTTCCTCATAAGTGCAAAATCTGGGTAGTCGTGCATAATGGGAAAACAATGTGTAGAAATAAGGACTGGTTTAATTTAATAGATGAGCGTGTATGTGCATATCTCATTTCAGCACCAGCAATGCAGAGTACAATACGTTTTTTGTTTAGAGTGTCCCACCGCTCCCTCTTTCAGGAAGCTATACAGTTAGATGGAGAGATACTCTTCGCCCTGCTGCGACGCGTCTCCCCTCTAGCCTTCCGGCATCTGGAGAAACATAAGATCGACCCCATCCTCTACATGACTGAATGGTTTATGTGTGCCTTCTCCAGAACCCTACCCTGGGCATCGGTGCTGCGCGTCTGGGACATGTTCCTCTGCGATGGTATGTATCTGCAGCGGTGCCTCATAGAGTGTCTTTACTCTGAAATTGACTCATCGGCTCCTTCTTCCTCCTTTTAGGAGTGAAGATAATTTTCCGAGTGGGCTTGGTGCTACTCAAGTGCATGTTGGGAACTCGTGAGAAGCTTAAGGCCTGCCAAGGCCAGTATGAGACCATGGAGCTTCTCAGGGCGATAGAGCCTCGATACATGCAGGAGGGTTTCCTTGTTCAAGAGGTAAGGGGTTTTTCCTAGATTGCTTTGCCTTCAGGCTGAAATGTCCTCGGTGTCCTGCCAGTGATTCTGATCTTTGATTTGCAGCTTCTAGAAGTGTAATCCAGGCCTAGAGTTGAATGTGGTAACTGTCTCCAAAAAGTGAAGGTATTGCACTAGCAGCGAGTCGTATAGATGCCTAAAGATGGTCTCTAGTTGTCCTTTAGTTTGCTCTTTCAAGGAGGAACTACATCCCAGATATCATGCTTCTCATCACACGAGTTACCTAGTCATGTGAGGCTACCCAAGAATCAAGGAAAATATAATTTAAAAACAGAGTTTATTTTACTTTGCTGATATCAATGTTTTCTAAACATGTGATCTGACTTTGTGATTGAGAAGTCGTGTCTGATTATTCGGCAGTGATGTAAACAGCATTGTGTCATATTGTGAGGGAGGAGTTAGAGGGAACAATAAATGTTCCTACAAGTAGTCAAGAGAACACCAGTGAGTCTGAGAGAGTGAATTAAAGTGACACACAGACAAATTGACCAGAGTGCTGGCTGCATGGTGTCTGGGTCCTTGTATCGAGCTTTGTGTGAGGGTCTGTCTTCCCAAACAATACCCCCTGTTATATGTAGCGCCGGCTTGACTGTGTGTGGCGGTCATTTGGCATTTGCAGACAAAGTTCACAGTCTCAGTACAATGGCCAGTCATGGAAGGAACATGTGAGCACAGCAGTGACCGGATGACTTGATTTTTCCTTTTGCAGATTCTCGAGGTGCCGGTGACGGCGCGAGACGTGGAACGAGAGCATCACACCCAGCTCAAGCGCTGGAAGAAGAACCGCGGGGAGCTCAATTTCAAACCGCCTCCGAGAATGCACGGCGCTCGGATCATCATGCTGGCTGAGCCACCCAGGCGTCAGGACCTGCAGCAGAACCCCACCATTGTACTTGAAGTGCCTCAGACTACCCCACAGCTGCAGAAGGGCAAGGAGGAGAAGAAGAGTAAGAAAAAGAAGAGCATGAAAAAATCCCAGCCCACAGAGGAGATTCCCAATCCTTACCCTCTTCTCAGTGACCCTCAATCGTCATCCACAGAACCGCCTGCCCCGCCTCCAGGCAACAGTGTGACGCCAGAGGCTGCGGCGCAGACTGAAACGGACTCAGCTGGAGAGCAGAAAACACCTCCTACAGACCTCCCCTCTGCCAAAGAATCTACTCTTCAGCGATCTACACAAAGCCTCAGCAGCACAGAGCAGGACACATACTTGTAGCTCTGAAAGTGTGTGGGTGAGTGGGTGTGGACAAAGCACCAGCACTCTTCCGTCAACAACCAGCCAGCCTTGCCGAAGTCTCTGAGTGGCCAGCATAACCTATTTTTTTTCTAATATCGGACTACTTTGTATGCATTTGCTCATTTCCACACAAGTTTGCCTTTGATATTAACAGCATACACTAAAGCACCTTTACCATGTATAAAACTACTTAAATGCTTTTGCTATTTGTCACTACAGAGCTGACGGATGCTTCCTCTTAATGCTTGATTCTCTTATTTAGACCATAAGTCTTAGTATTGTTTTTTTGGAAGGGAGACAAGTTACTGCTTTACTGAGGGCAGTGTATTTTAAGTGTTCGGTAATCTTAGTAAGGTGCCGGATTTCTTGCAGTTTATGCGGTTTTTTCACTTGTAATAATGTGCAGCAGAGGATGTAAACTCCTGATGCACGCGCCACACATTTCAGCCTCTCAAGTCTTTGTATTTCATTTTGGGGGAGGGGGGTTTCCACTAGAGGGCAGCCTTGCAGCTATACATGCTCTTAGGAGAGGCAACCACAGCGAGGATGGGATTCAGTAAAATTGGGAGTAGGTACAAGCGTACTTCTCTGAAGTTGAGATTACATTTTCTCACAGTGAAAAATTTTATTAAATTTAGCGACTGAAGTGGCGAATGTAAGGAAGTCTTTTCCAACAAGCGCGAGTTATTTAAATACAATTTAAAACATGGAGGTGTGTGTGTGTGTGTGTGTGTGTGTGTGTGTGTGTGTGTGTGTGTGTCCTGCTATGCAAAACAAACAAAAACATCTTTGTTTTTCCTGAATCAGTTGAACTGCTGTTTAGCTGTGTATAAGCTCCTCTTCTCACTGTGTGAGGCACTTCCAGCCACTTCGGCTCACCAGTCATTCCCAGGCAGCAGAGTGGAGAACACTGGACTTTCCTCACTGTATGACACATTCCTGCCTTCTTAAAAGCTAATCATTTTAAAGACCACCTCTTACCCAATGCAAATCTGCCTGATTGTGTTTGTGCACACGAAGCAAATCACCTAATGGTGCTGACCTTCCTTTTGGCTCTGCTTAAGGTCTATTTGGACATGTGAAACCATTAAGGTGTTGGGTTCATTTTTGTATTTTGGGTGTTTGTTTGTTTTTTGCTAGAGCTTCCAAAGCAAATTAAGACTGTTACTCTGAGATGATCTATGACCCCTGCATGTGACCAGGCTCATTTTCTGTGCAGTCACGAGGGATCACGGGATTTAAGGATTTACTGGGATTTCTGTAGCTGTTTGTATTTTTGGGGGGAAATGCGGTAGCATGCATGGATTGTGAGGCTCTTTGTCTTTTCTTTTTTTCCCTCCAAAACACCACAGTCTTATTTTGGTGGCATTCCTAGTCTTTCTCAACTATCAATACAATGGTAAAGGGAGTCTTGAGAAACACAAGTGCACGTGTGTAAAATGTGTTTGTGCATAACTAATATTAAAAGAGTCTTTGCTAATAAAGCGCGTGCTCAGCTCAGTTATAAAACGCAGCGGGGATATAAAAAGATGACATTTATCAAGCGATCACTCTCCCCTTATGCAATAGTTTAGTTGCTTGTGCCGCAAATCCTCACATTTCACTCGTATTATAATTTAATGCTCTTTGTGTACATACGATATAAAAAAAAATGTAATGAACTGTATTTTCAGTGTATACTGCTATATTTTTTGTCATGCAGTTACAGATACTACAGAGGTAGCTATGTATGTCATTTGCAGTCAGAGACGGTATATATACTTTTTTTCTTTTCTTTTCTTTTTTTGATCAGCTTTTGTAACACTAGGGGGAAAAAAAAAATTTCAGGGGAACCTTTGCCACTAAAATGCTTTTTCTCACTCTAAGAGTGTTACTGTTGCTACTAGGTTTTAAAAAGGAGATCCTCTCCAGAACTCCCGTGGCATGAGTTTTAGGCTTGCAGATAAGTGGCTGTGTTGCATATATGATTGCTGTCAATCTAGATTGTTATTAAACGCCGGGATCTTTAGACCTGTTTGTATGTAATGTCCCATGTTCACCAGCAGATGGCGGACCAGAGTCATCTCTTGGAAATGAGAAGTTTGCCTGTATGTGAGTGACAAGCCGAATGCCCTGTGCGATCCAAGATGTCTCCATTAATTCCACTTTTTTCTTTTTTTTCTTAATGCTGCACTAGCACAAGGTCAATTGTTACATTAAATACTGTTTTGCGTTACATTTTTTTTTTTCAAAAATGCCACGTTTGAGAGTGATGTGACAGCTCTACTTATGAATAAATTTGTTCTGCAACCAGGTATTGACTGCTGTTTGTTTTACGTCGGGAGAGAAAAAGCCTTCAAATCAATGGGAAAAGTGGGGAGAAAACCTTGTTACATACGATTTTATTTATTTATTTTATTTTTTTAAAGAACAGTTGATGTACATGCCTATAGGCCACTGATTTTATTTCACAGAATGATTCAAAAACAATGAACCAAAAAGTTCTTGGGTGTGTTTTAAGAAGCTGGCCAAATTATCGTTTATTAGTAAGTTGTCTTTTGTTTTTTTTAAATCTGCCTAGCAAAGCTAAGTGCTTTTCAGTTTACATAAAAATTTCAGCTTACTGTTACACGTCTCAGTTATTTCTGTGTAAGCTGAAATTTTGAGATCCGTGCTTTATGGATAACCAAAATAAATTCTTCAGTTGTGGAAACGGGCAGCTTAGTATGTTTGATTTGGCAGGTTTTTAGGCCAGGGTGCCAAAAAGTGATTTATGATATTTCTGTGTGTTTATATTGGTAAATGGACTGTAGTCAACCGGTCAAGACATGACTTGTACCTACAGTATGATTGTGATCAATCCGGTCCCTTTTGGCCACTTAAAATATCTTTAATTCTGGCTCGGCATGACTTGATGTCATTCATGAAAGCTATGTTATACATATGTTTAACAGACTATAGACCAACAAGTCATTTACAACTAATTTACAACTTTTTGGGCATCACATCTGACTTCCTCACTTTCCCCTAAAGGCAGCACAATTCCGAATGACACTGGGTAAGTAATAGTTCACACGTACCAAATATTTTACATAAATTACTATTATTATTATTTTATTTTTGGCTGTCTGTATGTTTTTATTTTTTTCACAGTGTATTTGTTTTCTTTCTGAAGGTCAGTGTGGTTATGCTAAATGTGTAACTGCGAAGCAGCCTGTTAGCTTAGCTTAAAAATGCTAGTGTAGTTAAAATGGTATGTTTTGTGTTTTTTCTTGTTATTTCCCCCAAAACACTGCCATGAGGGGTTTCGAGGCATTTAGTAGTGAAAGACATGCTGGTAAGTTTATTCTGTTGCTTTTAATAGAGTCAGGCTAGCTGTTTCCTCAGGTTTCCAGTATGTAATGTAAACTATGCTACATAAAAAGTAAATATAGGAGATTGATATCAAGATTTTGCAAAAAAGGAATACAAAAAATATATATTTAAAAACCAAAAGACAAATTTTGGAGTTATACTGGATGAAAGTGTGCTTAAGCAGAAGTTTCCTGGTTGAACTGGAACTGGATGGTTTTTAAGGAGGCTTTTACAACAATAAAGATAAACTACATTTAATCTGGCATAGTGTTAGTGTTATATGATGATTTATCCCCTCCAGTGATAAATTTCCTTTCCTATAACGATGTTATTCTGCATTATGTCAACCCTGACATCTCAGATACAACAGTGTGGTACAAAATCTTATCAATTGGGAGTCTGTGGTTTGTTGTCTATTTGTCTAAGTATGAAGAAAGAAAGATTGTAAAGCCACTGTAGGAATGTATGTCCAGCATATTCGACCCTTCTCCTGTCAGGCTTTCTCAGCAGCTTGACTGATTCAGGCCCCCTCTTAAGTCTAATAACAGGGTACCATTCTTTTCATAATTCACAGTTTGACCTCTTTTCTTCACCTTTAAGGTGTGGGACATTTGAAGGTTTTTTCCCCCAGGCTCTAAAGAGTTGTCAAATTGTTGTCTTGATGACCCCAAAAAGCGTGCTAACTCATTTTTAATCGTCCAGCAAGGTGTGACCTGCAGCTGTTGACCTCTGGTCTTCAGGGTTTAGTGTAGTTTTTTGCAGAATGCAGAGGTTCCTCTTAACTGGGAAACTTTAACTTTCTTATTGTTTAAATATCAACGCACACATGTGTAGACATGATTAAAATTTTACTGGACATGGGGTACTTGTTCTGATTGCGTTACTCCAGCAAGGCCATTATGGACCATTATAGAATCTGCTGATGTTGACCCGCATAAGGCACAGCAACAGTTAATGTTCTAGGTCCCTGAGGAATGCATGCACCGTCACGCTTTCCCTCTTTGCATCAGACACCTGGCCCTCTTTCAGTGCCACCGTGCTATTTACATCTCAAAGGGGAATGACCAAGAAGGCTCTCTCTGTGCTCCCTTCCTTACTCCAGAAATGATCTGATTTATCTCTTCATCAACGGAAATATATGCCTTTAGAGGGCCATCCCGTGCCTCTCATCCCCAGCTAATACAGATGGGAGAGAGAGAGAAATAAAAAGAGAGACTTGTGATCCTCCGTGTGATCCCAGACCTAACGGACCCCTGTCACAGTGCTTGATTCATGTGATGCGGGTGACTTTCTCTCTTCTCCCAGAATCAATGTGTTAGGGCTCTGGGAGGTGGTGGCGGGCCATAACGCAAAGCAAAGGCGCCTGTGTTCCTAAGGTATCCGATTCCCACGTTTGATGGACCATGACAGGCAGGTTCAGGTCAAATTAAAAGGCCGCAGTAACAAATATGAGGGCAGACGCTGTGATTGTCTGTACAGGTGAACTTTCCGTGGCAGTGGGAATAAAAAGTTATTTATTGCACCAGGGGAAAACATTACTCTTTGTGCAAGAGGTATTTACAAAGGAGGGGGATTCCTGAGCTAGTAGTTGGATAATTGAATCATCCTTGTGTTGGTTTTTCTGTGTGGACCTCTTGTGTTCATTAGCCAAAGGAAAAGCCCTCACTTTTATCTTCCTCTTGCAGCATTATGGCATTACTTGCCCTTTTTTCCCCCTGTAATGTAGCATATTATTAGTAAAAATCACCTTGAGTGTGTTCCCTGGTGCTGCACGTTTCTTCTGGATGGAAACTTTAAAGCCCGCTTTCGAGACATAGCTTTGCAAATATTTTCCGTCTTTTGGCTCCAGTGTGGTATTTTGGACCATCCTAAATACAGACTACTGTTAAATAATCCCATGCATGAGTGTTAATGTTTTCAGTCTGGAGCAATGCCTGGAGGTTCAGCCTTCCTGTCACGTAGAAAGCTGAGTCTTGCCAGAAAAATTAAAATGCGGTTTTGGCACTTGCAGCGTTTCCATTGTATAATTCTGCTTGTATTTAGAGATTTGGTGGCTACAGATATGGATAATACTTAGAGGGTAACATTACCGCAGAATAACACCCCAAAATTCACATGGGTGCATTTAGCAAGTGCTTTAAATGTCATCACAGTTCTCATTGTAGTTACTCCCAGTGGACGTGCTGCACTGTTTTAGGGACTGTATGATTAGTGGTGTTGGTGGTGGTGGGGGTTTGGGTTAAAAAAACGAAAACCATTTGAGGTTATTTGGTTAAGACAGTGCACGTGACTTTGAAAGAATACATTAAGGAACAAGGAACTCAAGTGATAGATTAGAGGTGAAATTAACAATTACTGAAATGACCAAAAAAATGGCCAAATAATTCAGTCTGCAAACTTTTA